TGTCCTATAATATTTTCTTTTTATTTTCATATTTCTATAATCTTATCCATTTCTTTTCACCCTTCTATAATATTCCCATCTTCTTTCCACTGTTTTACTCTAGTATCTCTCTTCTTCTATGTGCCGTATCTTTCTAAGACATGAGCGATAATGACTCTCCACAACTTCCTGTTCCTTGTAGCTCTTAGTAACGCTTGTCTTTTTGTCATCACTCTGCTGATTCTGCTATCAAGTCACAGAGCTGATCAGGAAGGTGGCCTGTTAACCCCCACCCCCACTGTTATTGTTGCCTTCGATATGCCATGTGACTGTCAAATTCTCCGAACCCTCCTTCCTTCATTATGTGTCCAAGAAATATTTTCGATTTTTAGCTAAAAAAAAAAAAAAAAAAACACTACTCCATCATTTCATAGGAAAATGGGAGGTGGGTGAGGTATGAATTACGTTTATTAAATCGTGTAGGAAACACAGGACCAAATCTCTGAAATCTTCTCTCTGAAATAAAAATGACGTTATTAATGCATGGTCCAATCGTGATGATGTGGAAAAGAGGTCATTTTAGAAGGACGGACTTTTTCTTTTTTTAGTTTTTTTTTTTTCTTTTTCTATCATTACCGACTCCTCGCGACCAATTAGTTCAAATGTCTCCCCATCATTAGGCTACGTTTACAGGCATTTAAAATAGAAAGGGTTCTCATGTCAAAGATGGCGCTTTTCTGCTTTTGAATGTTAAATCTTGACAAGTTTGCGAAATGAAACACACCCTGAACGTAATGGCCCCTATTTTATTATGGTGGATCAGGACAACTAAAGTTAGATTTTCGGTGCATGGTAAGCAAACATTTGGCATTCATTGGCCGAGCAGCCAGTATCGATTTCAGTTGAAATTTCTAAAATCTTTCTCTTAAAACAATTTGTTAGGAAAATAGGTTTCTCGACTTCAGTAACTGTTATCGCTCTTTTACACTACCGATGGGGATTTCGTTCCTAACCATTTATTTGAAGTAGTGTGGAGTGTCAGCATCTTCATTATACCATTATTTTCTCTTTGAGTTACATGTGCTATCCATTTTAGCTGTTGCTGCTGTTGGTAATCCTCAAGACATGTGGTTTCTGTCATTTGGTACAGTTCTTTGTTTATGATTCTGTAGCGTCAGTCAAAATGTTCAAAGAAAGTTTTTTTTTCATAAGATCTACAGATTTTACTCGCTAAATGTCATTTCTAACCATTGATCTTAGAAAACTGTTGTATACAGCTGAGAGTTTAGATATTTCTGAACAAACTTGACGAGACTATTTAAGAACATGACTCGAGTTTTCATGTTAATGTTTTGTAACAATTTTCAGTGTTCTCCACAACAATAACCCATAAATTATTTGCTTTGTTACTGATAGTGGCTAAACGGCAGTTAAGAAAATGGCGTCTGGCATGACAGTAATATGTCATTGAATTCCTCTCTGCGAATGCATTTCGCTCACTGATATACGTTGATGTTTGCTGAAAACATACTGAAAGTAATCAATTGATGTGAACACAGGCGGCGGGCAACAGTTTTCAGCAGTATCGACAGTGATGCATATGTGTGATATTTAATAACAAAAGTGATAAAATCATGAATAAAAAGAAACTAAATGAAATCAAGTAGTCTATATAACCAAATACATTATGGGCTCCTCGAGGCGATATAATTGTTATCAAGCGTGTCTCGCTAGAACAATTACGATTGAATAGTGAGTTCGATCCTCACTCGGTGCCTCCTACTTTTGGTCTGGTGCCGCATCTAAGCTACGCCTGGGAAATCACTAGACACAAATGCATGAAAGAAATTAATTTTAAATTTCAGCGTCCCTTTTCCTTCATACTCATGGCTAATCACATCAACCTAAGATTACTTTAGTCCGATAAACTCCGAAAGGACAAAAGGCGTCACACAAAATTTTTTTCTTAATAACAATATATAATTGATATGTAATATCAATTATATGTTGATATTAGATGATTATATTTCATGTAATAATAATAATATATCTAATTTATATTTATATTATATATAAATATATAATTTATACGTACTTTCACACACACACACACACACACACACACACATATATATATATATATATATATATATATATATATATATATATATATATATATAAAAAGAAATATGTTGTAGTGGTTCCAACGAGAGAAAAGTATATTAAAAAGAAGAGAAGAGAGGTGCCGCAAACGTTTTTGGTTGTAATGTGGATTTATTTAGAAAAAAATGTTATGCTTTGTTTTACATAATTTTACGACACGTGTTTCTGGTCTCGTGACCATCTTCAGGTAAAAGCGGAGATTTCTACATATTATTAAAAATAATTAATTTTTTTTTGTTTTTCAATGTTAAATATTCTCGATATGAGACATTCTCTGCGTGTTGGTAATCCGAATTTCTTTCTTTTTCTTTTTCTTTATATATATATATATATATTATAAATTAATTGATTTAAAATATGGTTATTTTCGCTACACAGTTCCAACCATGTTTCAAAGATAGAAGCTAAAAACCCCTACACCGTACCTATGAGCACTAATGGGTATGTCCCAGTCCTTATAAATACGTTGATCATAGGCTGTTTATGTAGTCCACCACTAGCAGTGGTTTACCTACTTCATGCCGCTGGCGAGTATTGTATTTTGTTGATGCTATAAAGATTACCATTTCATTTCAATCTCCGTTTTTGGTTATTCATCATTCGGTAACCTTTCCTAGGTTAAAATAATATATATATATATATATATATATATATATATATATATATATATATATATATATATTTTTTTCCCTACCTCCTATCCTAACTTCTAATTGTCTGTGATGTATGTATGTCACCACGAAATGTATCTTTATGCATTAGACATCCGTCGACTTTCTTTCTCTCCTCTTTTTAATTCCCCACCCCACCCACATCTCCTAAAATTCTCTCTATTAAGGTTTCATGTACCTCCTCCTCATACTTACTCTTTCTCTAAATTCGTTTTTGATTTCCGGAGTTGTTTTTTCTGTTTTCATTTTGAATTTGTAGGTCTGATGATTTGGATCGTATTTACGATTCCAATGGAATAAATTATGACCATGGAATATTAGTGTTTAAGCCTTTTTATTATATCCTAACTCTGTCCTAGACATTGAGTTCTACCTGGATCCTTCCTCTTGGAAATTTTTTTTTTTTTTTTTTTCTGAAAATATACATGTATGGGAATTTTTTAGATATATTTTTCATATGTATGTATATTTTCCACTAATATTATCTATATATATATATATATATATATTTAGTTGATTGATGTGAGTTTGTGACCCCTGGATTTCATGCTATTTGCGATTGTCTGACAAACTCTGTCTGACGATCACAAATAGCGTGAAATCCTGGTCACAAACTCACATCAATCCAACTAAATATGTTAGCTCTATTACTGATATTGAGCGCTTTCAAATAAGTACCTTGCATATATAATATATCAATAATATATATAAAATTATATATATATATATATATATATATATATATATATAAACATACACATTTGTGTGTTTCTGTGTGTGTGTGTCCAAGAAACTCATCCGCTCCCACTGGTCCGATTTCAGTGATTCAAAAGCCTTCGAAAATTTAAGCGCAGGGAACGACGATTGCATCTAGCATGAAACAGACTGTCGCCTCTAAGTATTGACTTCTATGTTCACTTTTATATTTACACACACTCTATCTCTGATATTGAGCACTTTATCCCATAAATATAGCACACCTTAAGACTATAATTCTTTATATATATATATATATATATATATATATATATATATGTGTGTGTGTGTGTGTGTGTGTGTGTGTGTGTGTGTGTGTGTGTGCAAAATTACAACCAATCAGTGCCTACAGTACTGATAATATCAGAATAGGGATTCTCTGAATAAAATAAATTTTCACTGGCCTCTGTAACGGCATAAATGGTAACAAATATAGTTTCGTTTTCGACACATTGGCCGTGTTAATTACATGAGTGAATCATAACTAATATGATATTCCCAACCAACCACCTATAGCATATAAGTAAGCGTCTTAGTGGCTTTATTGCCTTACTTGGAAGATTTTTTTAAAGAAAAATCAAACCCCTGTGAAAGCATTACGCTAAAAATCTGATGACAAATACAAAGTGTCGTTTTCGACACCTTGGCCACTCTCGTGTTAATTACACAGGTTATTGGATATTAACACCAGGACCGCCGACGGCCATTGTGTAACTAAGTGCTTTAAAACGCGATAAGTCTCTTCAAAATATGACGGTATTAATTTCGATACTTAAGGCACTCTAGTCTTGAAAAATTACCGAAAATGATCTCGAGGTATAAAAAGACTTACGGCCATATCACGTTCACCTAAGTTAAGCAACGTCGAGCCTGGCCAGTATCTACATAGGTGGTCGCTTGGGAATATCATATGCTGGAAGCTTGGATGTGCTGGGGATATAAAGGGCTTATAGTCTTTTCACGTTGAAATACGTTGCTTAACTTCGGTGAACGTATGAGAACGTACGATCACCGAAGTTAAGCAACGTCGAGCCTGGTCAGTACCTAGACGGGTGGCCGCTTGGGAATACCAGGTGCTGTAAGCTTGGATGTGCTGGTGATATAAAAGGCTTACGACCTTATCACTTTGAAACACAAATTCCCGTATGATAACCAGAAATTAAGCAACGTCGAGCCAGGTCAGTATCTAGACGGGTGGCCGCTTGGAGATACCAGGGACTATAAGCTGTGGTATTGTTGTGACCAAGTAAATGGTTAAGTACACGAGAAGAGTGTTACACGACTAGTAAGAGTGTATCGAATGAACTAGCACTGTTTACTGTTCCCCGAACCTTCTCTCCTACTAACCCTATAGTAGGTGGAAGAGTCTAACATAAATTCTTAAGAGGTAGGACACCACAGCAGATATACTGGTAATATAAAGGGCATATAGCTATATCATGTTGAAAATCCCGTTCCTGTACGATCACCGAAATTAAGCAACGTCGAGCCTGGTCACTATCTAGATGGGTAACTACTTGGGAATACCTGGTGTTGTAAGCTTGGATGAACGTTTGGCGTAATAGATAACGACTCCGAAATGGAAATCCACTCCTTCTCCCCGCAACTATGAGTTAATTAGTAGGAATAATATTAGTATGTCATTATCATCTCCTAAAACCTACTTACAGTCTAAAACTATTTTCTGGCTTTAAATAACCTGCAAGAGGTTGATAACCTGTAAAAAAAACAATTAAATCAATCAATCAATGTATAAAATAATATTTTAAATCAAAATCTGTCAGTATGAATTCTACATTCGTTACCAAATATGAGTGTTCGATGTTCTACAGCAGGTATATATTAAACTTAGTTTAGTTTTGTAACTTGATCACAATCGTAAGGTACCTTTTGAGAACTTTTTACCTACTTTAGCAGTAAATGTGTGGTACCTAGTAGGAGGCTTAAATTCATGTATTTGAGGCTCCAGCCAAAAAATCTTGTCAGAGCAGTTACCATGAAAAGAAAAGAAGGAATACACGCCACATCGGTGAGTGAGAAAGTGACTGAAGTTGGGCTTACTTGCTGTTTTACTTGGTACCTTTCTTTAAATATGTTATGTGGGTGTTAGATTTTCCAAACCCTCTATTCTCATAATGTGTCTAAAAAATTTCAACTGGCTCTTTATGGTTCTTAAATGTGACGCTTGAGGAAATTCTGTCGCCATATTGAGTGTACTTGTCTGCTTTTAAAATTAAAGGTATTGTTTCCTTTTCCTTTTTATTAGTTACGTTAACAATTTCAACAGACATTCCTGTCACTTATTATTTAACGTCTTCATATTTTAAGAATTTTTTTTTTTTTTTACCTTGACTGGCTTTGTTTTCATTGTTGCTTTTGTTGCTCGGCGTTGTTAAGAGAGGGTGACCTCTTAATAATCATAAACCTCAAGGCCAAAATCTAATGTGCCGAATCGACGTAATCACCGACGTGGTGACGACAATTTCGCTGCTTTGAAAGTCAATAAGCAAATTCCTTCCTTTTATCTTTTTTATCAAATAAGAAATAATAGGGATATGCAAAGGATATAAATACAAATGTAAGTTTAATTTATTTAAATATTATTTATCACAAATGTAATTAGTTTCATTTTCAATGACTCTGGCTTAGCGGGAAGAGACATTATTCTCCTCTACTCGCTGAAAATATTCAAAGATTGTTTTCAAGTTCTTTGCTTCTAAATATTCTGCTACTTATGAAATATTCTAGTGATCATAACAAATGAAAATTGGTAGATGCTAAAACTAGTGACTATGGAGGCCGTGGAGGAAGATCTTCCTCTTCTAATGATCTTATTTTTTCTTGTGTTTGTTTTGTAGAGTGTGCTTTAGCATTTTCTTGCTGGAGAATAACACATTTTTTTGTTTACCAAAGCAAAACACTTTCGAGATAATGCTTCGTTTACACGATCAAGTTGCTGGCAATAAACATCGACAGTGTCCGGTCGTTCAATATTGCAGTAGCTTATAATGGAAAACACATTTTATATTCTGTCAAACACAGAACAACGATTTTTCAAGATGGAGGAGTCCTGATTTTCGTGTTGGCATTAGTTTCTCATTTTGTGATAGCCACCATCGTTTTTTTTTTTGTTTTCTGTTGACATGCAAACCCCATTTTTCATCACCTGTAAAAATACGATTCAAAAATGAAATATTAGCATTTCTGATTAAAAGAGTGCTGCAGGTGGTAGAACATTGTGATCGGTTCTGAAGTGAAAGCTCATTCAGTCAGCTAAGTGCCGTACATGATAAACGCTTCGGCGATCATGTGTCTTTCAATACATGACTGGCAAGGCAGAAGATTTTTCCCGCAGTAGGCTGCCATCTCTTTCTCCAGTAAGATGGAGGAGTCCTGATTTTCCTGTAGGCATTGGTTTCTCATTTTGTGATAATCATCATCTTTTTTGTTTTCTGTTGACATGCAAAACCCATTTTTCATCACATATAATAATGCGATGCAAAAATGAAAGATTGGAATTTTTAGTTAAAAGACTGCTGCAGAAGATGGCATGTTGTGTTGGGATCTCAAGTGAAATCATGCGAAAAACTTAAATTCTCTCATTGCAATTTTGCACAAATTAAACTCTGAAATGATTTATAAATGGCATACTGTCGGATAGAAGAGAGGATATACTAATTCTAGATGCAGATTCCTGAGTTTCAACTTTGTCTTCCTCTATCTCTCTTGCTCTTAATATGCCTTGTGAGCGTTATGTTTTCTAAGCCCTCCTTCCTCATTATGTGTCCAAGAGATTTTAGTTGTCTCTTTATGATTCTGAGGATAAGTATTCTTTCCGTTGCCATTTGCTTTTAGAATTCCTCGTTGTTTATTCACGCCGTTCAAGGAATTGTGTAAAAACACATTTCTGTTTCCACCAATTTCTTCTTCATCAGTGGAGAGATTGTCTAGCATTCACTGCCATACAATAGCATTAATATTACAGCATGTTTTTTCTTTGTTTCTAACGGAATTTTCCTATTTCAATATATTCTTAGGTTTTGGAATGCATTTGCTATTCCAGTATGCGATCGGATTTCGGTGGCCCGTCTGTTAAACACTTCTCAGATATTTAAACTTCGGCACTTGCTTGATGGTGACATCTCCAATTTAACTCGCAACTTGGGCCTTTCGTCTTGCTGATGACATCTCCAATTTAACTCGCAACTTGGGCCTTTCGTCTTGCTGATAACATCTCCAATTTAACTCGCAAATTGGGCCTTTCATCTTACTGATGACATTTCCGATTTAACTCGCAACTTGGGTCTTTCGTCTTGCTGATGACATCTCCGATTTAACTCGCAACTTGGGCCTTTCGTGTTGTTGATGATATCTTCAATTTAACTCGCAACTTGGGCTTTTCATCTTACTGATGATATATCCAGTTTAATTCGCAACTTGGGCCTTTCGTCTTGCTGATGACATCTCCGATTTGGCAGTTGAAAGTTAGTCTTTTTTATCTCCTTTTTTTACTACCTTATCTAGGTGATCCTGTAGATTTGTGCGAAAGTAAATGTAACGAAATCGACCGGAATTCGAACTTGGCTGACCGACTTCTTCTTCGGAGCCGTTAACCATTACATCGACTGCACATCTAAAAGCACTTGCTGGTACATAGCTATCAATTTGTAAATTCTGATTATTCAAATGATGCTACGTGGAATAACACATTTGCTGTGGTTATCTCTCTTAATTCCGAAGAGAAGAAAGCCGTTTAGAAGGAATAAAAAGACGTGTGCATATTTGTAATTTAATGTCTAAGAGAATGGGAACATTCAAAAACTAAATCCCGTCAAATCTCTACGTAATAATTAATTATTGAGACGGTGAAGACAATAAGATTTGCATGTGTAGATAGCACTTGTTTGAAATAATGAATTACTGGAGGGAATTTAGAAGGATGACAAGCTGGTACTTGTGAGCAAACTCGGGACAAGTCAGTACATGAAGATCTTGTTCTCGGCTATCTATCAAGCAGTCAACCATAAACATGAGACATGCAAAGAATGAGAAATGAGATAATTAGACAAAAGTAGGGTAGAGTGCAAAGGGCATGGTGGATAAACGCAGGAACTCGTTGGTCGGATCTCTATAAAAAATGGCTGGTTACTAATTACTATAGTCAGTAGAAAATCTATGGTTATACGTAGTATAAGAACATACATATTTTGATACTTTTTTTGAAAATGAAGTAACAAAAATGTGCATTCTTCTATTCAACAAAATGGCTTCCCTATTCATCATTTTTTATTATCTGAAAAAATATTTTATTTTCATGATTTCTGAATATCATTAACCATTCTCGTTTCATTATTTCTTCTGGATATTTGAGCTTTTCCGAATTTATGGGTTCATCATTCCTTCTGATTTTGTGGATTGATTATTCCTTCTGAGTTTCTAGCGTTCGTTTTTCATTTCTTCTGACTATCTGGCTTCATCTTTCCGTCTGACTTTGTGGCTTGATTATTCCTTCTGACTTTCTGGCTTCTGGCTTTTCATTCTTTCTGACTTTTTCGTTTCATCAATCCGTCTGACTTTCTGGCTTGATTATTTCTTCTATCTTTTTGGCTTCTGGTTTTTCATATCCTCTAACTTTCAGGCTTCATCATTCGTTCTGATCTTTTCTTTTCACCATTCCACCTATGCGGATAGTTCTGACTTTATGGCTTCTGGTTTTTCGTTTCTTCTGACTTTCTGGCTTCACCATTCCGTCTGAATTTCTGGCCTCATAATTGCGTTTGACTCTGTGGATTGATTATTCCTTCTGACTTTCTGGCTTCTGGTTTTTCGTTTCCTCTGTCTCCACCATTTTTCCGTTCATCATTCAGTCTAACTTTGTGGATTGATTATTCCTTCGGAATTTTTCATTCTTCCTGACTTTCGGCTTTCTTCATTCCTATTGACTTAGAAAATGTTGCTCTTTTTTATAATTAGTTTTATTAGTTTCAACCAATGCAATCAACTTAATATACACAATATTAACATATATTTAAAATGTGTATAAAATATTTAAAACGAATATAAAATATTTTAAATACGCCTTGAAAATTTAATAATATGTCTGTCCTCTGCTGCTGTCAAACTGTGCGAAAATATTCTATACCTGACGTCACAATCTATTTAAAGTGGAAATATTGCGTTCCTAAAAATGCCAGGTTGAAGCTAATAGAGACTCTTTGACACTGGCAATGTTATTGTGCCCGATTATGACCCCAAATGTTTTAAAGTAGTCAAGCAAAAATATGAATTTAAAATATTTTCTTTGGAATGCAGGAGAATTTTAAGTATATATGCGAAACTTATTTGTAAACTGGAAAGATATAATATAAAATAGAGAGACAAATCCTGTTGGTTGAAATTAACAGAATTGGACATTTTGCTATTCTTGTTATATATATATATATATATATATATATATATTCATTCATGTATGACAAAAAAAATTATTAAAAAATCATTAAAAATGACTGACAAGGTACAGCGATTAATGTTTTATTTAAT